CCCATCCCAACCATCCCAATCCAATCCAATCCAACCCAACCCAACCCTCCCAACTCAACCCAAACCAAACAAACCCAACACAAGCATCCCAACCCAACCCTCCTAACCCAAACCATCCCAACCCATCCCAACCCTCCCAACCCAACTCATCCCAACCCAACGCTCCCAACCCAACCCCCCAACTCAACCAAACTCATCCCAACCCAACCCTCCCAATCCAAATTAACCCAACCCAACCCTCCCAACCCAACCCAACCCATCCCAACTCAACCCAACCCATCCCTCTCAACCCATCCTACAATTCCATGATTCGGGGGACACTGCTGAGCATCCCACGTTCCCGGGAATGCCAAAACTCCACCTGACACCCACCCCCTTGTCTCTCCCCCTCCCAGATCTGCATCCTGGAGTGCGAGGGCGAGGCCGTGCCGCGAGCCACCTGGGAGCTGTGCGCCGCCGCCAGCCGGGCGTCCCCGCGCACCCACGACCTCGCCGCCGAGCCGTGGCCCGGCGTGGCACCGGAGAACCTCCTGTGGCGCCGCGACGCCGACGGAGCCGCACCGGGAGCCTTCCCGCAGCCTCCCGAGGACATTTCCCGCCGGCTCGGGATGGGCTGGCGAGCGGCGCCGGCGGCCAAGGGGGTGCAGAAGCGGTACGGGGGCTTCATCGGGGTCCGCAAGTCGGCGAGGAAGTGGAACAACCAGAAGAGGTTTAGCGAGTTCCTGAAGCAGTACCTGGGAATGTCGCCGCGCTCCAGTGAGTACGACTTGGGCGGCGGCATCGGAGAGCACAACGAGATCTAACGGAGACCCCGCGGCGTCCGCCAGGGCCACACAAAAGTCAACCCTCCACCCCCTCCCCTTCTCTCTCCGCCACATTCCATAGGGGCAACTTAACAATAAAAAAAAAAAAAAGAAAAAAGGGGGCCAAAATAATAGTAGTAATAATAATAATAATAAAAACAACAACAACAAACCGAAAAAAAATTGGGAATTTGAGTGGAAACGAAAAATTGGAGACCGGGGAGGGACGGTGAGGGCGATCATCGACATCGCAGGGGAAGGTCCTTTGGGGTCCAGGGAGGAGGTTTGGCCTCGAGGCCATTTGTATTTGAAGGATGGTTTAGTTCTTGTCTCAAAAAAAAAAAAAAACAGGAGGAAAATTAAAATAAATCAGGAGAATGTAAAAAAAAAAAGAATAAATTTTAAAAAATTAAAATTCTTATCAGAAATTTCAAAACGGAAAAGTTTTAAGTGAACGGAAATTAAAATTAGGATTTTAAAATGAAGTCAAAATAAAGAATGAGGTAAGTGGAGAGTAAGACGTAAAGAGGTAAAAAATGAAATTTAAGTGCGTAAAAATGGAAGAAATTAAAAATATTTAGAAGAAATAGAAAGAGGTCAAAAATATTTAAGAGAAGTGAAAAATTTTTAAACTCTTCAAAAAAGAATTAAAAAAATTAAAGCATTTAAAATAAATGAAAAGGAAATGAATTAAAATAAAATGAAATAATAAGATAAAATAAATGAATTTAAAAATAAATTAAATGACTTTAAAATGAAATGACTTTAAAATTAAATGACATTAAAATTAAATTAAAAATAGATAAAGTAAATAAAATAAAAATAAAATATTAAAATAAAATAAAAAATAAAATAAAATAAAAATAAATTAAATTAAATAGAACCATTTCCCTTTAGAAATTAAACAATTCCTCCCCCAAACGCTCCAGTTCCACATTCCCACACTGAGCAGCAGGTTAATCCCACGCTGCCATTCCCAGGGACCACCGTGTCCCTTCCTCCGCCGGCTCCGGGCCGGGATGTTCGGAGCCCTCCCGCTCTCCCCCCGCAGCTGCCGAGACCACCCCCTCCCCAGCACCCCCCCTCCCCCAAATTCACAAATTTGGGGAGATTTAAAAAATTTTTCCCCCCTTTTTTTTTTTTGGTTGTTCTTTTCCCTTTTTCCCCCCGTCCTTGGGCGCCATCCCCCTTAAATTTCGGGATGCACCCCCAACCCCTCCCCC